ACCTTGTTTTCTTGCACTTTGCAGATATTGCTTTTTTTTTTTTTTTTACAAATTGATTTGTAGCAACCCTGTATTGAGTAAGTCTATTGGTACCTGTTTTCCTATGGCATGTGCTCGCATCATGTCTCTATGTAACATTTTGGTAATTTTCATAATATTTCAAATTTTCTAATTACATCTGTGATGGTGATCTGTGATCAGTGATCTTTGATGTTAATATTGTAATTGCTGGTGCTTATGTAAGACTGTGAACTTAATTGATAAATCTGTGTATTCTGGTTGCTCCACTGACCTGCCATTCCCCATTTCTGTCTCTCACCCTGTCCTCCCCTAAGACACAACAATATTGAAATTAGGCCAGTTAGGAAGAGTCAATTGATATGGCAGACTTCATTGTGGTCTTACTTTTAAGGAATTGCTACAGCCACCCCAATCTTCAGCAACCACCACCCTGATCAGCAGCCATCAACATCAAGGCAAGACCCTACGGTAGCAAAAAGATTACAGCTCACTGAAGGCTCAGGTGATAGTTAGCTTTTTTATCAATAAAGTATTTTTAATTAAGGTATATACATTGGGTTTTTTTACATAATACTATTGCACACTTAATAGACTACAGTATAATGTAAACATAACTTTTATATTCACTGGGAAACCAAAAATATTATGTGGCACATTTATTGCAACATTCACTTTATTGGGGTGGTTTAGAACTGAAACCACAATGTCTCCAAGGTATGCCTATATTTACCAGATCCTCCTATCATTAGAATACTTCCGATTAATTTTGTGTCCAGGTTCCTGCATCCGGTTTTAGATTTATTTAATCTTTTCCCTGCTTTTCCATCACTCAGCAGAGTGCCTGGCACATAGTAGGGTGCTTAATAAATGTTTATTGATTGGTTGCTTTTGGAAAGCTATAATAAAAAGTATCAATAAAAATCTCTTTGGTTCATCTTAAGCTCCCAACTGGGAATCCCAACAAATTAGAAAGAGAGCCTCAGTCAGTCAACAATCATTTATTAAGGGCCTTCTATGTGGCAGGCATCGTGGTATGCTATGGGGATTTGCCAAAGAATCGCAAAAACACAGTTCCTGCCCTAACAGAGCTAATGGGAGAGACGGCATGAAAGCCACCGTACATAACAAGATATATACGGAGTAGATAGAAGATCATCTCAGTAGGAAGGCACGGGGGGGGGGGGGCTGGGTGGAAGTGGGGTGACCAGGAAAGACCTGCAGAAGATGGGATTTAAGCTGAGTATCAAAGGAAGCCAGGGAAACATGCAAGGCATGGAAGATAGCAGTATCTACTAGAACAACAAAGGCCATTGTCACGGTATTACAGAATGTGGAGAGAAAGAGTAAAGTGAAAAGATAAAAAGGGGCCAGGTCGTGAAGAGATTTACAAGACAAGCAGCGATCTTCTGTTTTATCCTGGAGGTAATAATGAGCTATTGGAGTTTAAGAGAGGGTAGGAGTAACATTATCAGACCTGCACTTTAAGAAAATCCCTTTGGCAGCTGAGTGAAGGATGGGTTGGAGTGGAAAAAGAATTGAGGCAGAGACATAATGACTTTGCAATAATATTCCTACAAGTTTGAGGTGATAGACCTTTGGTGTCCAGGGGAGGAAGATGGCTGGCCATACCTTCCCTCTCAGCTGCTTTTGAGCAAATGAAATACACGTAAGCCACGTGATATATTAGGCTAGCCACAGTTTTACCTTAATAACTTTTAGAGACTAGATGGATAGATGTATAAGAAACAGAGATGAACTTTGGTTGTAAAAGGTATATACTAAGAGGAGAGGAGGATCAATGTTGCTCCCTGCAAACAAGGACAGGACTCAAGTATTATTCAGTCATGTCTGACTTTGTGACCCCATGGGACCATAGTGTGCCACTGTCTGTGGAGTTTTCTTGGCAAAGATACCAGAGTGATTTGCCATTTCCTTCTCCAGTGGATTAAGGTAAACAGAGGTTAAGTGACTTGCCCAGGGTCACACAGCTAGTAAGGGTTTGAAGCTGAATTTGAACTGGGGTCTTCCTGACTTCAGGCTTAGCACTCTATCCACTGAGCCCACCTAACTGCCTCCAAAGTTAATACAGTAGTAAACTTAATTTCCAGCTGCTTTGTGGTTAAACAAGATAAAAGTATCCATGTTAAAGGTTTTAAATTAGATGTGTTGCAAATTATTTTAGATGACTGTTTCCTACTGTTTTACATTATCAGGATCTTGTTCTAATAGCCTCCATTTTTGCTTCTAATTATATGCTTTTAACCTTGACATTTCATCTCCTCTTATATTTGCATAAGCCATCCTTCACACCTGCAATTCACTCCCTGCCTCAATTCTGCCTTTTAGAATTCTTATCTTCCTTCAAGGCTTTCCCCAGGTATTACTTCCTCCATGCATCACCACAGTTGCTAATGTTTCCTTTCTCCTCAAATTACTTTGTATCTTATACGTATTGTATCCACTCCTAGTAGAACATAAGCTTCTTGAAGGGAAGAATTATTTCATCATTCTGTGCTTAATATCTGTTCAACTGAATGAGACCCTTTCCATTTGGTTAAATACTTTTTTGTCTTTATGCATATTTAATACCTTTCTCATTGCATTTTCAGATTATTTTCCTTATCTTTTGCCCTTCTCTCAGTCGTTTCATTATTCACTGCTTTCTGACACATCATGTCATGTAAATTGGTTGTCAAAATATCGTGTTAAATTATTTGCTTTCCTAAGCTTTTGCTTCTGTATTTTCTCCCATAGAATTGCTTTTCAAATAAAGTTATCTTCACTTGAAGTGGCATTAGCATCTTTTAAAGATATTTTCTCTTTATCAACTTTTTCATTAAAAAATTAAGCTAAATATATTTAAATAATTCACAAACAAGTAACTAAATCACTCTGGTTTTTAAATGCTCAGATTTAATAGAGGTAGTTCATTCTTCACCTTTCTAGATCATGCTGTTATCAACGTTTGTGTGTATGTACTAATTAAAACATGCTCAATTATTTCTCAGTTCCCCCTCCAAGTTAATTTTCAATTATATGGTGACTTTAATATACAAATTACATCACATATCATATATATGCATAAATTAAGAATGCAGTTCCACCTTAGGGTTATAGTAATATCTGCAAAGTAAAAAAAATACTTTTTTCATGACGTTTTGAATAGCATTTTATTCCATTAACATTTAAAAGTGTCCTGGCATAGAACATGATTTTGTGATCTTTTTTCTTATTTAAAACATTTAAGATTACTGAAATATGTTTATTCTCAAAAATAATTTTTATTGTGAATTTGACAAATACCATACCAAAAAGAGAACATTTCCATATACAAAATAGAAGAGTGAGATGTGATATATAATCTTTATTACATACTGCTTGCTTTTTTTAAAAGTATATGATAAATTCAATATGTTACTTTAAAAACTGTCCTGCTTTTCTGTGTTTCCCTCTAAATTCCCTTCTGTGCATTTTAAAAAGATTTTTCAGTGATTTTTTTTAAACAACATTATTGCTGGCTCTCTCTTCCAACCTAAATTCTGCATCTTCCCCCCCCCCCATAAAAAAGGAAAAGCACAAATCTTTGTAAGAAATAAGCATAATCAAACAAAATAAATCCACATATTTGTCATGTACAAAAATGTATCTCTCAGAGAGAAATTGTTAATTCATCATTGATAGAGCTGGACATGGTTTGACATCTGCCTGTAATCCCTGCTTCTGTAAAACCCTCCTGGGAGAGGCTGAAGCTGGTGAATTGCTTGAGCTCAGGAGTTCTGAGGACTAAGTTCATTAGATATCTACACTCAGTCCAATATGGAGAGTCTGTGGGAATGGAGAGAGGGAGGAAACCTCCAGGTTGCCTAAAGAGGGTGAAACAGCCAGGGTAGAAATGGAATTGGTTTTCAAAATCTCCCATGCTGATCAGTAATGCTATTGGGCCTGTGAAAGGCCCCTGCATTTCCAGCCTATGAGAGATAGGGAGACCAATTCTCAGGAGAAAAAATGTCATTGACATTTATTTCTCATACTTCTCAACCCTCTTCCTAAATAAAGCTGAGGAATCAAAGCTATACAAATATTGCACAGGTATAATAAAAAAAAAAGGAGGTGGGAGAGGGATGGTCATTTATGAACTCTGCTGTAGATTAATTTTTTAATAAAATGTTATTGATGTGTTTGGTTGTTTACATTATATACATTTATAAGTGTCTTTGTTAAAGGTCTTATAACAAAGTAAATTTACTTTAAAGTAATATTAGCAAATAGTAAATTATTAAAGTAATTAGTAAAATTATAAGTAATCTAAAATAATTAGTAAAAATTACAAAGTAAAATATTAGTAAAGCTAATAATATAAGCATATCTGAAAGTATATGCAACATTTCACTTCTATACTACCCTCGCTTCTCTTTTAAAAAAAATTAATGAGTAGATTTTTCTACATTAAAATTTATTTTTCTTTAGAAATGAAAGAGGAATTTAGGCGAATGTAAGAAAGAGAAATAGAAAAAATAATAAAAATGAACCAACTGAAACAATACTGCTACTCATGGTGGTTTGTGTACTATCAACTAAAGATTTGGCTTGTGATTCATGATGAGAATAAAGTAGCAAACTGTTAAACTCAACAATAAGCAGATGCAACCTAACAAACAGTAGGAAATCACTATGGAAAGTTTGTAGGCCATACAAAGAAGGGATTACTTTGCCCTCATTGCCCACTCTCCTCCCCCCTCCACCAACCCAAAATCAATAAGGGCTGTTTGGACTGAGGGGGGGCGGGAGGGTGTAAAAGGGAAGAGGAGGGGCGGAGCACCAGGCACCGCCCTGACCACGCCTCTCACCCGCCTCCACGAGATGCCGCAGCTAAGTCCCGCCCACCGGCAGAGCTGCGTCAGCCGGGGAAAGGCCCCTCCTTCCCCTCCCACTTCGGCCAGGAAAGAGAAGCGCCGCGTGCGCCTCCAGTGTACGACCAACAGCCGGGCGCGCTCCGTCGTCGCGTGAAGGACGTGCACAGCCGCGACCACAGCGCCGCCGGACAAATGCGCGGCAGCCGCGGCCCCCGCCTCGGCAGCCTTTGATTGGCGCCCGCTCCGGCGCGCGCGCGCTCTCCCTCTCCGCCCCCGCGCCCGCCAGCCCGCCTGAGCCCAGAGTGGTGAGCCTTGGTTTGCGAAGCCGGCGTTTGCCCTTCTCTTAGCGCTCCGAGGCATCTTGCTCTTCGCGGCTTCCAGACACCGATGTCCCCCAGTAAGTGAAAAGAAGTCGTTTTCTCCGCCTTCCTTCGGCTCCCTGCTTTTCTGCCCGCTGCGGGCCACTGGTGCCACTCGGAATGCGTTGAGCCAGGTGGCGGGTCGCGCCGGGCTCGGGGGTGCTTTTGCCCGCTGCGCTGCGCAGCGTACGCTGGTGGGTGCAGAGGCAGGGGGCGGGGCGGGGAGCCGGGCCCGTGCCCTGGGGATGCTACTCCCAGTGGTCACTAGCGGGGCCGCAAAGTTTGGCCAAGTTGGGTCCTGGCACGGGGATCCGTACAGCCGTGCAAACTCTGATAGTCCATTGCGAGAACTGGTAAAGCGCTTTGTAGACTTTAAAGCGCTATCTAAATGCTCCCTGTTATTATCATTATCCCAGAGTTCTTTTTGTGTTTTACTTCTGATGGGAGAGGGGGAAGGGTGGTAAATAAGAGTTACGTGGGATTGAAGTAGCGTAATTGCCTGTTAAGGCAAAATTCTGATAGTAGATTTTACATTTCACCGCTTCCCCGTCCCTCGCTTAAGTAAAAAAGGTGAGCTCTTGTAATTTGGCAAAATTTTCCTGCTAATGCCTTGAAAGGACTAAAGTGAACTCAGCCTGGGTGCCTGAGGAACTTGTCAACTAAGTTACCTTTTTAATTTTGCAGTGAAACTAAATGCAAAACTAGACTTTCTAATTGGTGGTGTGGCATCTGAATTGCTGGGCTGTCTAGGAAAAATTCAATCTGCGTTGAGTTCCTAAGTTTCTTCTTTGCTGGTTTTTTCTCTGTCCTCAATTTGAAGGGATATTGCAAATCTCCAAAACAGATTTTTTTTTAAACCCCCCAGGGACATAATTTCGGTCCACTTAAGGTTTTCTTATGGGTATTTTGTGTGTGTACCCTATGTTGGCATTCTTTGACTTGGAGAGTTTTGACAGTTGTCTGAGTTTATTTTGCTTTCTATTAATTAGACTGTGTACAATATAAACTTCATAGACAATTACTCACTTCCATGCTTTTGGAATCATGTGACGTCAGCCTTTGTAATTGATTCTTAAAAGTAACAGATCTACCCAGTAAACTAGTGAAACTAAATTTGGAGTCGAGATTTGGGTTCAAATCGTAAACCTTATTAGCAGTATCTCTTTTTCCCCATTTATAAAGTAGGGATAATAATACTTGGTGATTCCTACCTCAAAGAGTTGTGAGAAGAGTTATTTGCAAGCCTTGACATCCTATGTATTATTGCACCCATAATTAAATGGATCTGTGATTTTATCCATGTAGGTATTTTGTCCTGTGATGTAGTTTACAACCCAACATATCTCTGCCCATGACTTTAAATCTTTCTCACTCAGGGAGTTCACCCACTATGCTGGGGGCCTTCCTCTAGTTCTTTTTACATTGTTATAACTCTTGGCAGAAGTCTGAGTTATTAATATCATAATTAGTATTATCCTTTTGTGGATTTCTCACCACAATCCTAGATTGGCCTGTGTGGAGGCAGAATAGGTGGCACAGTGAATAGGAAAGAGTCCTGGGCCTAGAGTCAGGAAGACCTGGCTTCGAATCCCCATGTCAGATATATACTAGCTTTGTGACTCCGAGTAAGTCACTTTACCTCTGCCTTGGTTTCCTCATCTGTAAAATGGGAATAATAGCACCTACTTTCCAGGGTTGTCATGAGGCTCAAGTGAGATATTTGTAAAGTACTTAAAGCACTATATAAATGTTAGTTACTAGCTAATAAAATAATTTCTTTTTTTTCTCTCCCCAAATTCCTTCTGACATCACTCACACAGTGCTGTTGCTTGGTGGAAAGGAAAAAAAAAAAGATGTTAGCATGTATTAGTATTACCATGCATCAATATTAGCATAACTAAAAATATGTTTAGGAAGGTAAATTTTCACAATCTTCACCCCCACTGCCCATATTATAAACATGGATTTCAAAACCAAACATACTTGTTTTTTATACCATTAATTTGTATTAGCCCTTCCATACTCCTCTTTCAGTAATGTAAAGCACTCAAATTTGACCATAGGGAGAATTAGTCACCTTTAATTTATGACCCCTTGTGTATATAATAAAGAGAATCAGGAAAAAATTATTTGAATTTGCAAGTACATAATTCTGAAAGAATGATGTAGAAAAGGAAACACAGTTTTCCATGTGGGTTAGACTAGGAATGAACTCAGTCTCAAAATGTAAGTTTCTAGTCTCACAGTACCTATAAAATGGTTATAAGTAGGGGCAGCATCATAAGCAATACGCATATTCAGAACAGACTAAATGATTCCTTGAAACCACTTTGTAGATCTTAAGGCATTATATAAATATCAGTATTTATTAGCATTTAGTTAGATCAGTCATATGGCCAAGGGGTCATCAGGAACTATAAGGGTAGATACTCAGGCCTGCCACAATACAAAACTAACCAGTCAGAACATTAGCTTTTACAAACTTTCAAGCCCTGTGTAAATGTGAGTTAATTAATTCTCTGTATGAAATACAGTGAAACAAAATAGAAACAAACAAAATTGTGCTTAGTGTATCTTAGACTCACTTAGATACTAAGGAGGTGAGGAAAAAAGGAAAGGTAACAGGAAGATAAATTAACCTGAAGAAGGGAAAGATATTTGATCAAGTTTCAGACTAAAATAATAATTCTTTCCCTTAGGCTCTAGTTTCCTGATTTTAAAGAGATGCTCATTAATTCTGATAGAAAATTAAGTTATTCTTCAGAATGTGACTTTAAAAATTGATTAATTTAGTATGCTAATTAATATTTAGCTTATATGGGAATTAATGCAACCCATAAGTTTTCTAAGATTGCATGTTTTTCATTTTCAAAATATGAGAAGAGTGTACTTTTTTGTTATCATTGCTTCTTTTAAAATCCTTCCCTATCTACCTAGGTCCAAGATGAATAAAGATCAAGTTGCCCTGATTGGTCAGGTGTTTGAATCATACGTTTCAGAATACCACAAGAATGAAGTCTTACAGATCTTGAAAGAAAGAGATGAAGATACTCACTATCCTGTAGTGGTTGATGCCATGACTCTTTTTGAGACGAACATGGAAATTGGGGAATATTTTAATGCATACCCCAATGAAGTACTCCCTATTTTTGACAGCGCCTTAAAAAGAGCAGCTCTGACAATTCTGCAATCTCTTTCACAACCTGGAGAATTTTGTATGAAGCAGAATCTTCATGCTAGGATATCAGGTGAGTTTATTTATGTTCCCCAGTTTCCCTCCAGTTAATAATCTTTACTTTCTTTTTTTTTAATCCACAAATCCTTTTTTAAAAAATAATTTGTTTATTTTTAGTTTTCATCATTTACTTCCATAAGATTCTGAGTTTTAAATTTTCTCCCCCTCCCTTCCCTTCCTCCTCTCTAAGATGTCGTGCAATCTGATATATGATTATACATTCATATTAAACATATTTTCATAGTAGTCATGATGTAAAGAAGAATTGGAACTAATGGCAGGAACCAAGAGAAAGAAGAAACGAAACAAAAGGAGAGCAAATAGTATGCTTCCATCTTCATTCAGACTCCATTGTTCTTTCTCTGAATGTGGATAGCATTTTCCATCATGAGTCTTTTGGAATTGTCTTAGATCATTGCATTGCTCAGAAGAACTAAATCTAACAAGGTTAGTCATCGCACAGTGTGGCTGTTACTGTGTACTGTGTTCTCCTGGTTCTGCTCATTTCACTTGGCATCAGTTCATGTAAGTCTTTCCAGGTTTTTCTGAAGTCTGCCTGCCCATCATTTAGTATTCCATTACATTAACATAACACAACTTGTTCAGCCATTCCCCAATTGATGGGCATCCCCTCAATTTCCAGTTCCTTCCACCACAAAAAGAGGTGTTATAAATATTTTTGTACATGTGGGTCTTTTTCCCATTTTTAGAATCTCTTTGGAATACAGACCTAGAAGTGGTATTGCTGGGTCAAAGAGTATGCACACTTTTATAGCTCTTTGGGCATAGTTCCAAATTGCTCTCCAGAATGGTTGGATCTGTTCACAACTCCACCAACAATGCATCAGTGTTCCAATTTTCCCACATCTTCTCCAACATTTATCATTGTCCTGTTTTGCCATGTTAGCTAATCTGATAGGTGTGATGTGGTACCTCAGAGTCGTTTTGATTTGCGTTTCTCTAATCAATAGTGATTTAGAGCATTTTTTCATATGACTATAAATAGCTTTAATTTCTTCCTCTGAAAACTGCAATCTTTCCTTTCTTAGAAGGAATTTATGTGTTCTGGGTTTTTACTACATTGCAAAAATCCATTAACGTAGAAAGGGGATGTTGTATTTCCAGTGTGGTAGGAGTGGGGGAGGTCATAATCTAGCAGAGTACACATAGGTAGTTAAGAAATATTTACTGAATTTAAATTACAATTGAAATACCTATATCATAAAAAGAATTCAGAGATTAATTAGTGGTTCTTGTTACTATTTTAAGATAAGGAATAGATAGGATTCTGTGGCATTTACATCATCATTTATAATTATTGATTGTTTTATTTCATGAAAATTGTGTTAGAAAGGGAGGCCGTGTGATATGGTTACAGAGACAAAATTTTCCAAAATGCAGTTGGGACAGATAGTCTGATAAAAGTTATTTCTTTTGCAAAATTTTGTTAAAAAATAGCTTTCTGTTTCTGACATTAGATGGACAGCTAGAGCATTTGTTAAACACTATTATCTATAGGTCCTGTGCTAAGCACTGGGGATACAAATATAAGCAAAGGCAGTCTGTCCCCCCCCCCAAAGAGCTTACATTCTAATGGGAGAAGGTGGAAATCAGGTAGGAGGGGCAAGGATACTCACATGGGGACAAGGCAGTTGTCAAAGGCACAGAGAAGCCTGAAAGTGAAGTGAACTTGCCTGAGAGTCATTTGGAAACACTGGCCCAGTGTCTGGCACATAGTAGATGCTTAATAAATGTTTATTGATTGATTGGTCTGAGTAGGGGAATCATCAATCAGTAGAGTAGAACTTTAGGGTGGAGATGAATGAAGGTGGTGAGGAGGTGGAAAAGAATTTCAGAAGTTTGTGTAGACATTTGAAAGAACCCTGAGCTTCAGGATTTGACACTAATTAACCTTGGGCAAATCACTTCAGTTCTCTTGGCTTCATTATCCTTATCCATAAAATGTGGGGCCCAGACAAGATCAATTCTTAAATGTTATAATTCTGTGATAAAAAGGAACTGAAGTAGAGAAGAGACACAGGAGAAGGTTTCTGAAATTTGATCACTGAAAAAGGAAAGTAGGATTTTGTATTTTATCCAAGGGATAATTGGAGCCACTGGAGTATTTTGAGCAGAAGAGTGACATGGTCAATTCTAGTACTTTAGGAATATCACTTTCACGGTTGTATGGAGGGTGGATTGCATAAAGGAGAGGAAAGTCAGATGTAGTCTAATTTGTACTCTAGATTTTGGAAGAGTAGACTTCACAATGTTGGGAAAAGGGATAAATGGGATCCTGTGATGTGATATTTTAAAGGAAAAGTTGGCTCAAGAGGATAGGAAGCTCTCAAGAGTAAAATTCTGAAAACACAAACTGAAAAGATTCCAATGAAGAAAAAAAGAGGGAGCTCTTTAATAAGATTGATGTAGATGTTCATGAAGAACTGCTCCATGAGGATTTGTGAAAAGGACTGGAGGTGGTTAGCCTGGAAAAGAGAAGGTTTTGGGGGAGGGATGTGATAGTCCAAGTATGGAAAATGCTATTGTGAAAAATGGATGAAAGTTGAAGAGAGGCAAATTTGACATAAGAAAAAATTTCTTAACAGTTAAATTATCCCAAAATATAATGGTTTCTCTTCACTTTTGGAAATTTTCAAGCAAATATTGGATCACTTTAAACATTTTTATTTTTATTCTGAACTTTTAAAATGAGCATTTTGATAGACAAAGATAGATAAAAAGGATTGTAATTGAATAAGTATAGCTTATTCTCTTAAGTGTAGCTTTCTTTTTCTTTTGAGTATATAATAACTTCAACACATAAAGCTGTCTGGCTTGTCTGTTTCCTTCTGCGCTTTAAAAAAAATGCTTTAATGACCCACTTTTCATTCTTTTTCTTTTCTTTGCAATCCTGTTCGTAGCGCCCCTGCCTCCAAATGAGATATTTGTCAAAGTGGGTAGCATAGTTTGCATAGTGCTTGACACATAATATGTTCTATATAAATGATTATTCCTTCTCCCACTCTCTTCTCCCCAGAAAAAAAAAAGAAAAACAAAACTTTTGTAACTAATATTTGGTAGTCTGGCAAGACAGTTTCTCATATTGTCTGTTCAAAAATGTATGGGTCAGTCTGCACCTTGAATGTGTCACCTCTCTCAGGAGATAGGTAGCATTTTTACTTATTGGTGGATAACCATGTTTTCAGTGATGTTATAGGGGAATTTTTTTTTAAGTTAAAGAACACTCTTATTCTATATATGTTCTTCCTTGTATTTGACCCCTGTATAAGGCTGAAATCTCTGTGTACATTTTAGTGTGATTACTCCAGTGCAGCCCTGTCATTGGTATCTCTTGCAGGGGAAAGAGCTTTGGGTACACAATATTAAGCATTTTATTGCTGGTGAATCAAAGGTACTCTGGTGTTAGGAAGACTGTGTTAATTGAATTCATGAAAATGTAAAAAATTTCTAAGATTTTTCCTACTGTTTGTTATCTGGCTGTCCTGTTGGCCTCTCAAACTTAACATATCCAAAATAAAACACATCATTCTTTCCCCTTAGACTCACCCCTCCCCCAACTTTGCTATTTCTGTTGAGGGCACTACTTTCCAGTCTCCCAGGTTCATAATCTAGGAGCCATCCTTTGCTCTCCATTCCCCCTTACCCCAGTTGCCAAGTTCTACATCTGTAACATCTCTTACAACTGTTTTCTCACTAATTATGAAGCCACAGACTTTGCTTAGGTCCTTCTCATTACTCACCTGGGCTGTTGCAGTAATCACCTGCTTTCAGTCTCTTCCTTCTCCATTCAGTCATGAGTGGTTTAAAGGACAGGTTTGACAATATAATTCCCCTGGCTCAAGAAACTTCAGTATCTTCCTGTTACCTATAGCATAAAATGTGAACTCATCTTTTAAAACTCTTTATAATCTGGCTTTAGCCAATCTTTCTAGGTTAGTTAACACACCATTACCCTTCTTGCACTCTGCATTCTGGCCATACTGGTCTGTTTACTATTCTTCATACAGGCCATCACATCTCTGTCACTTTACACAAGCTGTTTTCTACATCTAGGGAACCCCCTTCTCACCTTTGCCTCTTGAAATACTTGATTCCCTTCAGGACTCAGCTCAGATGCCACTTTCTACACAAGGTCTTCTCCTTTCCTCTCTCCCCAAAAGCACTTTGTATTGACTAGCTGTGTTTATATTGTTCCCCCAATAGAAGATAAACTCCTTCAGGGCAGAAACTGCTTTTTTAAATGTCTTTGAATCCTTATCCCTTAGCATACACGTAGTAGACACCTAATAAATGCTAATTCAATTGAATCTCAGTTTTACTGATTAAATGAATACACATCTCATAAGTTAACAAATGCACATAAACCTCTTAGGTAGCCCTTCTAGCAATATGGTTAAAGGGGTCCCTATCCCAAGTTACTGAAATATTGTGGCAAAAGAGTTTAGGTTTCCCTTTATTTTTGTTGTCTGTTTTCTTAATTTTTCCAAACAAGATCCCATTATAGTACCTGTCCTACTAAGGATCAGTTCAAATTGTTTTGTTGTGGGGGTGGAGCCAAGATGGTAGAGTAAAGCAGTGACTTGCTTGAGCTCTCCCCCAAACCCCTCCAAATACCTGTAAAAAAAAATGGCTCTAAACAAATTCTAGAGCAGCAGAACCCACAAAAAGAGAGAGTGAAATAAATTTCCAGCCCAAGAGAACCTGGATGGTTGATTGGAAAGGTCTGTTCAGCATTGCTGCACCTACAAAGACCAGGCCTCAGGGTACTGGATCACGGGTAGCTGTGGCGGTTTCCAGACTTCTCAACCCACAAATGCCAAAGATAACTTAGAAGGTCAGTAGGAAAAGTCTGTGACCTCAGTGAGCTCCATCCCAGTCCTAATGCAGTGCTTTGGGGGTGACTGCTTCCAGAGCTCTCAGCCCACAGATGGAAGGGGGGATCAAGTTTCCGATCAGAAGGGGATTGCAGAGATCTCCTTGCTGGTGCTGAGG